CAGAGAAAACGTCAAAAAATGGAAATTTATTTTCATAAGCGTTTCATATTCAAAATTTTTGACTTTTTTCAATTTTTTTAGGTTCAATTACGAATTATGGGTATAAATAATAAGAATTTTTTCGCTGCCTGTTATAGGATCAATATCACGGACGCCATTTGTCCAGCAGCTGAGCAACTCGCACGCGTACCTGCCAAATGGGATGCTTCATATGTCCGCCATTTTTAAATATTTTTGGAAAAAAAAATACGTATGGACAGTCCAAAACATATATAAATAAATGTTTAAGTTTGAAAAATATAGAAAAATTCTTTCTCCTACAAAAAAATTCTTGAAAATAGCTTATTTTTCCTCGTTCTAATTGGATTTCCCCCCTTAATATTGTATCAAACATATGAACATACTTTGACTGCGATTTGGAATAATGTTGAAATAGGGTTGCCATAACGTTTTATTCGGCAGAAATATTTTTAAGATGTTGCATTGATCTCAAATAAATATTAAAGTAACATTTGAAAAGTATATTTTTTGTAATGTTTTTAAAACGTTTAAACAACATTCAGAAAAATCATATCACAAAATAATATATAAAAAATATAAATGCAATATTATTAAAAAATGTCCAAACAATACATATGAAAACAACGTTTCTAAACGTTAATTTAATGTTCCTTGCTTATTGGGCATAGTGGATTGTGTGTATATAGAACACTCGCGTAAGCTTGATGTAAGCTTTATGTAATACATAAAAACCTATTTAACATTGATATATAGACTATAGTTTCATAAATAAACTCGGACTTCTCGACGCGATGATGACAAGGTACATGACTGCACGGATGCAACTCGTGTCGTCATGTAACACAATACTGCACGCATAGATGATTCTTTTATGATAACGCGCACAAACAAATATACAGTCATTCGTGAAATAAATGAAAATGAATAAATAACTCACGTTCACTATCTTTGAGGAAATGCGGATGGTGTCGAATGACTTTGGCGATCTTTCACGATCTTCCGATAATAACGTTGGTTTCGTCTCCAAGACTTATTGACCACACAAGATGTTTCCTGCAAGATGTCGAAACAGGACAAGCGTAGGCCCTAACTCCCTCCTTGGAAAGAAGGGGGTGAGTTTCAGCGCCTCTACCTTCGGTCTTACGAACCAAACTTAAGAGATCATGTGACATGGAGTGGGGATATTCAAATCTATTTGGACACGCGCGAGAATCTATACAGGGTGTTTCAAACTCTCCTTCGCAATTTTTGAAGGAAACGTAGAATGGATTTAATTGTATTCATTGTTATTCGACCATGATTATTGTTGCCACCAACATCACAAACCTCGAAATTTTGAAAATTGTTGTTCAAATACTTTTCCAATAAAAGCAACATGAACGGATCTTTAACGGTTTCGCAATTACCGTCAACAATTCTAACTGACTTTATGTTGCTCACTAGTAAAGTAATAAATGAGTCTTTAAATTGTTGGGGTCCCATTGAGAAATGACTTACCGATCAACGTCTTTTCGACGTCTATCGGTAAGTCATTTCTCACTGGGGTGTTGGATTATTATGTTGAATCACATAGCTTCTAATTTGATCAGAGAAATTGTTGGTAGAATCCTAATTATAGCGCGTTTTAAAACTATTAAAATCGTACTTACATGTCAATATTTTCTATAGTTTCTGGAAACCGCCCAAAGTAAAGAGTTCTCAGACAGCACAGAGATGAATAGAAGTTCAAAGAGAATTTATTTAAGAATACCTAAAGAATTAGAAAAATGAATATCTGAAGATATTCTGAAGAATTATCCGTGTCTAATTCATTCTAAAATATTCCTTGGAATTTCATTATAATGAATATTTCGCGAATCATTACTTAGGATACTCTGACAATTCGTGAGAAATTACTATTATTAGCTAATTTTATTTACATTTTATAGTTATATTAGATAGATTATTTACATTTTATGGTTACACTAACTCCATTGCTTATAGTAAGCGTTGATTTTTATATATTTATAGCTAAATTTAATTAATTTAATTAAATCTTATCTAGTAAGATAGATTTTTTTCTTTTAATTATACTATTTTACAATTATTCAAATTTTATAATTTTTTATGACTTTGTCTAATTAATAACAGTTAACAGTAATAAATTTTTACTATAAAATTTTAAAGATAATGAAATGGAATGTGCGGGATTTCGTAGAACTCACTAGTTAAAGATTAAATTAAAAATAAAAGTACCAAAAATATAATTTTAATAAAATGAAATCATATTTTATTAAATCATATTATAAAAAATTATATTATTGCGTTAATTACAACATATATAGATAAAATATGAGATGTTTATATTGATCGAAGAAGTAGTGTCTAAAGCAATAGATTTATAAACTCATAGAAGAAAGAATACCAAGAACGAGCATAAAGAGAAAATCCTTTGTTAGAAGTGCGAAGGATGTGTTACGTCCTGTGCAGACATGAGTCATGCACTCTATCTTTGCCTCTTCTGTCGGGAAACAACAAACAATTCCGAATCGTAAGACCGTTTTTTTTGTCTTTCCCCAATAAAAATTCCGACTAAAATTCCGAAATAACCTTGGGAAATACAGCACTAAAACTCCTTAATCCGCAAAGTAAACTTCGCCGGACCTTATCCTTGGGATCAAAGGAACCGCTGGATAACAAAAAATTATGTCCGTTACATTTTCTAACTTACGTTATCCGGTTCCGCCTCATCCGCTGGTTCCCTCACCACCTTAAAAACCCTCCAATAACCTTCTCTTTTGAAATGTATGATTTTCTCCACCCACAACCCCAGCCAAGAAGATTTCCTTAACACTGTCTACTTACTTACTACTGGATACAACAGTCCCCCATACCATTTT